ACTCATATCCAGCTTCTCGTCCACTGTAACCCCTAGGTCCTTTTCCGCAGAACTGCTGCCTAGCCATTCAGTCCCTAGTCTGTAGCTGTGCATTGGGTTCTTCCGTCCTAAGTGCAGGACCCTGCACTTATCCTTATACCTCATCAGATTTCTTTTGGCCCAATCCTCCAATTTGTCTAGGTCCCTCTGTATCCTATCACTGCTCTCCAGCGTATCTACCACTCCTCCCAGTTTAGTATCATCCGCAAATTTGCTGAGAGTGCAATCCACACCGTCCTCCAGATCATTAAGGAAGATATTGAACAAAACCGGCCCCAGGACCGACCCCTGGGGCACTCCACTTGACACCGGCTGCCAACTAGACATGGAGCCATTGATCACTACCCGTTGAGCCCGACAATCTAGCCAACTTTCTACCCACCTTATAGTGCATTCATCTAGCCCATACTTCTTTAACTTGCTGACAAGAATACTGTGGGAGACCATGTCAAAAGCTTTGCTAAAGTCAAGAAACAATACATCCACTGCTTTCCCTTCATCCACAGAACCAGTAATCTCATCATAGAAGGCAATTAGATTAGTCAGGCATGACCTTCCCTTGGTGAATCCATGCTGACTGTTCCTGATCACTTTCCTCTCATGTAAGTGCTTCAGGATTGGATGCTATGGGCTAGGTTCCACCTCTTAGAATATGTCTACACTACAAGTGCTAGAGCAGCACAGCTGCCGCATTGCAGTTATGCTGCTGTACCACTGTAGTTTACACATTCTACAATCAGGGAAGGGGTTTTTCGTTGCTGTTGGTAATCCACCCCATCCTGAGGCAGTAGCTAGGTAAACATAAGAATTCATCTGTTGACCTAGTGGTGACTATACCAGAGCTTAGGTTAGTGTAGCTGTGTCTCTCAGGGGTGTGAACTTCTTACACCCTGAGTGACATAACTAGATTGACCTAAGTGTAGACCAGGTCAAAGACACAACTCATAGTAAGGGGTGGGGAGTAGCTGTCATCCCAGTAGCAGCCTAGGGAAAGAATCGTGATTCCTCCCTTGTTCCGTGGGTAGTATTTTGCTGCTGGCTTATAACAGCAGCAAATTACTATTCTCCACCATCCTACTATGGTTCAGTGCTTCTGGCCATTCTCTTACTTAATCTGTCCACTTGCTCCATAGGAGGAACAAGCAGGAGTGCAGCACCCAGTAACCCCTCCATGCTCATATACAACAAGGTCTAGCTAAACTGGTAGAGGTGCAAGAAGTTGGTTCTCTTTCTCCCTTTCAGGGTATATCTACGCTAGAAACACTACGGCACAGCTGCTCCTCAGCAGCTGTACTGCTGTCAAGCTCTAGACACTCACTACAGAAACAGAAAGGGTTCTTCTGTCACTCTAGTAAATCCACCTTTCCAAGAGGCAGTAGCTAGGTAGAGAGAAGAATTCTTTCATTGACCTATCGGTGTATACAGTGGGGCTTAAGTCAGCTTAATTACTTCACACAGGACATGAATTTTTTCAGAGCCCTGAGTGATGTAGGTAAACTGACCTAACTTTGTAGTTCAGACCAAGTACTAGACTACGTGCCTGTGCAGAGGAGTAAGCCATAATCCATTCCTTGGGGTACTGTGTAAAACCCTAATACACTGAGATACATAGATCATCAACAGAAGTGTCAACTCCATACTAGGTGACAGGTTTCAGAGTGGTAGCTGTGTTAGTCTGTATCAGCAAAAACAATGAGGAGTCCTTGAGACTAACAGATTTAGTTGGGCGTAAGCTTTCATGGGCTAGAACCCACTTCATCAGATGCATCAGATGAAGTAGGTTCTAGCCCACGAAAGCTTATGCCCAAATAAATATGTTAGTCTCTAAAGTGTCACAAGGACTCCTCGTTGTTTTAACTCCACACTAGTTGCACATCCAAATTCTGCCATCAGAGGACCAGTACAATTTACTGAAGAGGTGTAATCAAGGGCATAGGTGTAACTGAGGGCAAAATATGAAGGAGATGGGATTGCACAAGTGTAAGGGAAAGGATTTGCTGGCCTGCAGAAGCATCAGCAGTGGTGTTGAGACATAAGCCACAAAGAACACAGTTTAATATTCAGATTTCAGGTAGATGTTACAGAGCTGGCAATTAGAAAACCAGCTTTTCATTGCTAAATGGATTAAATCTGAATTGGAGACACTGAGAGATAATAAACCTGATGCCTTTTTTAGAGTCACTTTTCACAGTAGAATTGTACTTAAATAGAACATATTGCCGCTTTATAAACCACCACGTGGGAGAAATAATTGTATATCTTAGTAGTTTTGTATATTAGGAAGTCCTTGAATATACAAATACGGATTATTTATCCTTAATTATTATGATAGCAAGAGAAGGGTTTTCGTTTGTTTGTTTTATTGCTTTCAATATCCAGTGACCTACAAAGCTTGGATAAATGCTACTGTTCATTCACTAGAAGGCTTATAAACATCTGTGTTTGCTTCTGCAGGAGTGATAGCTGCCTGGAGATAACAAATCTGATGATTATTTCAGACATAGAGGACAAACAATACTCAAGATGATGCCTCTAAAGTGCCTGGCACACATTTACAAAAGATGTAGATGTTACCACTCTGTATCATATTCACTGTATAACCAGAACAGACTCCAGAATGTAAATTCCACTGGAATAATACAGTGAATGGGGAGCAATTGAGAAAAAATGGGGGAGTAATTTCCTTTGTGAATCAGATTAGGTCCACTGTATTGCGATGTGAGGCATAAAGCTTTGTTAAATGGCATGTGACTATTTTATAGTTTCCCCCTCCCACTTTCTCATGTGTATATTTAGAAATATTTACCTCTGTGGTTAACAGAGAAATCATCCAGCAGTGCACAATCTTATTCATTTATCTAATCAATTCATTAAAAAGTAAGATAATTATAGGGGCATAAATTTGTCTTGCATCATTACCATTAACATTTAGGGAAGGTATAGGGTGGTGTCCAGGGAGTGGAAAATACACTCGTGAAATATTGTATCCATTCACTGAAGATTAATAATAATAAAATCAGTTTACTCTCCATGTTTTAATTAATGCAGCATAATGTTAGGTTTTACTGCACAAGTTATTTTGAAATACTTGTACATGAAATATATTTTCGTACGTTTAGTCCTTCACCTGATATTCACTGATCTCTAACATCTGCATGTTCTGATACCACAAAGAAAAAAATTACTGTTATTTCCTCAGCTGAGTCACTTTCAGGATGTTTCGAGGATGTCTAATAGATAAAGACATTACTTCATTATATGAATATGAATCTCTGAGACTTATCTCCTACTTCGAGTGACAACAAAAACTGTTCAAGTGTTTCTTATACTAAAAAGATTTCAAATCAAATATTTTAAACAGAGTAAGATTAATACCAAACTGTACATAGAGCTACTATATAAGTATAGTATAATATTGATGAATAACAACAGTAACATACATAAAAGGAAGAAATTACATTTAATTACATTTACCGTGCTGTGTATTGTCTTAAAGACAGTGCCACTTTATCAAATCTTATCACAACTTATTCCCAATGTTACAAGATGACATTAATATATTCAAAAACTCACATTGGAACTATCTGCTTTTTTCGCTGATGACAAATCGCATACGACGTGTGGGAGAATACCTTGAGAAAGGTTTTCATGCTAAAATTCTCTGGAATTTAGCAACTTATTTAAAAATAAGTTGCCAATTGTTTACAAAACAACAACATAGATCGAGTCCATTTGTGCAATGCCAAATCATTGTCTATAGTCTGCATGAATATTTAGCAGAGGTGACATACATGTGCAGTCAGTCTAATAATATAGTGCCTGTTTCTGCTGCCCTAACTCAGTCTGGACTGAATTCTCTGCTCATTGAAATTGGTGCTGTTCCATTGACATTAATGCTATAGTGCCAATTTATATCAGTAGGGAATCTGGCTCACTGAGTAGTATTTTAGTCCACTGGAAGTCCCATCAAATGTAATGTACGAGTAAGAAGTTGGTAAGAATGGATCAACAGTAAAAACCATATGTTTAATGCCCATTATTTATATACCAAGGGTCAAACCATGATCTTTGCAGAAGAAACTCGGAGGGTGGAGTTTCCTGCAATCATCTTGTTGGACATTCAGGTGTTCCCTGTGTGGCAGGTAGTGCCTAGGGCTTTCCTAACCAATGGATGTTCTAAGATACATGGATAAATCTCCTCTAAGGATGGATGTGGTGGAATCTCCATCCTTAGAGGTTTTTAAGGCTTGGCTTGATAAAGCCTTGGCTGGGATGATTTAGTTGGTGCTGGTCCTGCTTTGAGCAGGGGGTTGGACGGACTAGATGACCTCCTGAGGTCTCTTCCAACCCCAATCTTCTATGATTTCGTAATTCTATGTGTATTCACCAATGCATTCATCATGACAGCAAGGCTGGCTCAGGAACTCTGTATGTCCTTCACTTATTCTGAGGATAGTGGCTTTCCTTTTGCACCCCCCTCAACCCTCCCACTCCCACAGCATAGAACCAAGTAGATCATACATAGGGATTCCCCTTTGCTCAAAGGACTGGGGATAGGGATGACACCACATTGTCTCAACACTCTTTTTACAAAAACTGGGCCATTTTTGTGGGTCTTCCACTGTTGTAATCCCCTCTGAAGAAAACGAAGGGGAAGGAATGATCTCACCCCATATAAACTGCAGACCTAAGGCATATTGTAAGCAGTCGTGTTATACAAGGAACAGCTCTTTTAAAACCAGTCAGTCACTAATATTCCTGGTGGACTACAGCATTTCTTAGGAGTGGCTTCCTCAATTATTAATGTATCTGCTGCTAATTTTATCATGCAGAGTGGGAATTTGTCCCATCACTAAATATAAGGCAAGTTTAGTAGAAATATAGAAGTTGTCAGCACATGAGAGTCAACACGTTATTGCTATACTGCAACCATTTATAACAAAACTAAAATGAGCACTCACTTGTTTGGCATTAATTTAATGTCCCACTTAGCTCCTATCAGATGCAAATAGCTGCTTCATCTGTTTAAGCATTTCTTTTCGTGCACATAATGAAGTACTCTGTACCTGTCAAGTAAGCAGAATTCATAACTGAAATAAGAAATGGATGAGGAAATTCAGTGTCCTTGTTAAAAAATATTAAGCCTCCAAAGGGACAGTGTCAGATTTATTCCAGCCATTGGTTTCCTTTTATGAAGTTTACCTACCTGCCACCTCCCCCCTCCCCCGCATAGAGCCTTTTGAAACACGGCATGCCAAAGACATTGCTGAAAAGGCTATTAATTCAATGTATGGCAAAGTTAACAACAGCTGTAGTTGTCAAACCTACTCAAAACAAAATAAATTAGCCAGCCAACCTCTTGTATTTAAGTGGTTTTTATATTCTGTGTTTTAGAAAAACAGTTTAATTTTAAACAGCATTCTAGTTATGATCAGCCTCTCTTGAGGAAGTTTTTTATGAGAATGAATGGAGATAATGACTACCATTAGTCTTTGCCATTAGCATAAAGCATGAGGAACTCTACAAAATTTATAACAGGCTATGACATGACTGTAAAAATATGACTTTCTAACACTTGCATATGCTTTTGACTACAGCTGGTTGCTATTTGGTGACGTTAAATCTAGTAATAGTATATTTGATAACATGTTCATCATCGGGTCTAATTGTTTCCACCACAGGATGTGAAGCTTTATGTCCTCTATCAACCAAAAACAAACAGTCATCCTGCTTAATGGCTGTTCAATTAATGTTTATGGTGCTACTTTTATACCCTGAGTTATCTGACAAATAAACTCCAAGAAGCAATTTAAGACCCTCTGAAGCTTAATGGGATCCCAACCAATATTAAAAATTACTACAAATTTCTATACAATCCCACACTTGCTGATGTGAAATGGGAGACATTTATCAGTTTTAGACATCTTTTCAAGGACAGCAGGATTAATTGTGAGAGGGAAAGGAAATCAGAATTGTAGAGACAGAAGGTCCGTGTAACTTCAATTTGGTTAGCTTGAAATTGCTGATCTGACCTGGGCTAAAATGGAGAAGACCTGGTCAGATAAAGGTCAGCCTCAGTTCATCCCATTGCAGAGGATAATCCTCTAAAGCTGATTTGCCCTCTATAATCTGGATGCTCTCCACCTATTCAGAACTCTGCCTCCTTTGTACAAGAAACTGGATTGATTAAAAAGAAAAGAACAGTTCAATAATGGGTTTCTCTCCTGCTGCTTTGGTGCATATTAATTCATCTCTCTCCCTTTTGTAAAAAGCCTGTAGAGAGCAGTGTAAAATTACCGTAAATATGTTTTCACTGGAGAGCTGCCATTGTTCTAAATTATGAAAGTAAATGATTTCTGGTTTGTGCTGTTAATTGTATAGAGCAGTAATATATTCATCCAGCGCTTCCCATTTTAATTCAGGCTCCCTGATCTCTGGCTTCTAATGATGTATTACAAGTGTTACTTCTCTGACACCTAGGTAATTAATCATTAATATTTCTCAGTCCCCCATAGTAGCTGGACACAATTAGACAAGAAAGAACAGACTTGAGGGGTGGTGAAAATTTATTTTCAGAAATCACACATATTTTCACACCATAAACTTTGCTCAACATCCACTGCTGCAAATATATTTTAATAGAACTGCTGTTATTGTGGCTCCCTTCCCAACCTCCCAGCAGTTTTAGTAGAGCAACATGAGGTTCATAAACAGGGAAAATGCAAGTTTAAAGGTTGTCAAGCCTTCTTGACAACTTCCCACCAGGAATGCAGCCGAGAAATGACAAACTTATCACCTGACTGGCTGATGTTTAAAGCTCACTGCTTTTGATTAAGCCGCAACGAGCCTTCCAGTTTGGAGTTCATTTTCCGTTTCATAAACACCACTTCACCAAAAATTATGCAGTTGATCTGATTTGAATCTGATTAGTTTAACACTACAGTTTTACTATTTGTAATAAATAAAGGTCACTTTCATGGTGTTACTGCACATTAAGAAACATTTTAGGAGGGTGGCAGACTTGTTTTTATTTCTCATGTATTATTGTTTGACACGTTTAAAAAACAATAGTGATATACTTTAACAATGTTGCTTGTATTTTACTTGCACAGTTGTTGTGTGTAACTATATATGTAGTCATATTCTGGTTCACCTCTGCTCTGGTGTGAGGACTAAGCAGTAAGCAATAGATCCATTTAAGGGTACAATGTTGTGACCTTGACAGGTGAGTTGACCTCATTGCTAGCAAGAAAGTCAGTGGTAAGCTTAGTAGCCAAGTTCTTAAAGGGAAAGCCCCTGTATTAAATTGTATCGTGTAGACTTTGTGACTGATTCTTTCAACAACTTGCCCTGTAAAAGTTCAGCCACCACAGTGGACTGCAAGAAACACTGCATTACTATTTCAATACCATCTTACTTCGCAAGAGCAAATTCAAATACTCTGGGAAGCCCGATGCACTTTTATCTTTTGACATCCTCTCAGTTTTGTGTCCTCTTATATAAAATTATAGCCTCCATTGATCTGCATTGCAGGCTTCAGTGGTAAAAAGCATTTCATGTCTTTGGGCCACAATTTTCTCTGATTGGTCAGTTTAGAGACAGTTGAGAGGAATTGCACTTAATCAGAAATAAATTTTGGGTGGTGTTAGCCTGCTTATAAAAGTGATGCACTCTCTCTATAAAGGCTAAAAATCACATAGGGCGAACATGCACATTCAGGACTCTGACCTGAATGAGAGTTGAGTGCACAGTCCAAAGGCCAAATATGATCCTTGCTACACTGACATTAATACTCTAAACCCCTTTTATAAGCAGGAGTGTCTGCCCATCCAAATCTACAGGATGTTACTGAGCTGCATACAGAACCCCACACTGAGATATATGGGTAGGGCCCTACCAAATTCACGGCTGTGAAAAACATGTCATGGACTGTGAAATCTGGTGCCCTGCCACAGGCTCCTACCCTGCACAGGGTTCCAGCTGCTAATCATGGATGGGGATGGGGAGGGATGAGACTCTGTCTTCCCCTGCAGGTGCTGCTCCTGGGTTGGATCAGACCCACCTCCGGGATCTCCCCCAGATGCAGGAAGCTCTGCGACTCCAGCTGTTTACTCCCCACAGGGGGAAGCTGCAGCTCCAGCTGTCAGCCCACCCACTCAGGCAGAAGACTACAGGGAAAACCAGACGTATGGTAACCCACTCCCCGTACCTTATAACCCTCACTTGTGCACTGCTGCTGATGGTGGCACTGGCTTTAGAGCCTGGTGCCCCATTAGAGGCCTTCCTCTCCAGCTTCCCAGCTCTGGAGGCAGCACCTCTGCCAGCAGCAGGGCAGAAGTAAGGGTGGCAATCCCACAACCTTCCCCCCCCCCCCAACAATAGCCTCACAACCTCTCATTCTGACCATTTTTTGGGTTGGGACCCCCATAGTTACAACACCATGAAATTTCAGATGTAAACAGCTGAAAACATGAAATTGACTAATTTAAAAAAAAAATCCTGGCAGTGAAATTGACCAAAATGGAGGTGAATTTGGTAGGGCCCTATACATGGGGAATTCTGTGTAAAGACTGATGTGAAGATATTGCTCTCATTGTTTTACATCTATCTATCTGTCTGCTTCCATGGCCACCATCATCTTATACGTGACAGCAGAAGCAAATACCAGTAGATTCAGAGAAATCAAGAAAGTTCAGTGTTCAGCACCTGGGTCATTGCGCCCTTTGTGACTAAAATTTTCAGTTAATAGTGTTTCAAATTATGTTGCTGGAAACTAGTGACATTAAAAATAATCTACCTGATAAAATCTAAAGCATATACATATTTAGAGTTCTTTACTAGGTCAGAATTATAGGATTCTAGTTTGCAAAGAGACAAGTGCCTTACTCTTACTGGAGGGACTACTATGATTATTGCAAATACTGAGGTTAATTAACTGCAGATACTTATTTAGGGCCCAGGTCATTCTCCAGCGTATGCTGCTGTGCAGGAGGAGCAGGTGGGGGACTTAAGAACTGAAATGGAGGCTCTTGTGTTCACCCCAGACCTTGGGTCAAGGCATGTTGGAGTAATCAGGTGTTGTATGCCTTGCGCTCCACTCCTGGAGCCAGTTGTTAAAGATTGGACATAGAGGGGTGTGTAGTTGGCAGAACCTGGCTCCATGTCCCAGTATACTCACCATCAGTCACAGGCAATGTAGAGGACAAATTACCAGCCATTCAGGAGCAAAGTGGGCATAGGGATGAAATTGTGGCTTTTTGACAGATGCTGCACTCCACCCCATACAAAGGACAGATTATACATGCACATTCTAGTGCCTACTTACCTAAAACAGTTGGCAGTTTTTAAGGCTCACTGCCTGTCTCTACTTTGAAAACTATAGATAAACAAATGAAAAGGTAGAAATTACTATCAGGTAACTTGACCGTGACTGGGACCATTACATGTGTTAGGTGCTGTACAAATAAATAGGAAGATGCAGTCACTAGCCTGAAGAATTTATCATCTACGAGCTTCATGTATACCACTCAGAAATTATACTGGAACTATAAAAGTTTTCCATGCTCACATGTGTGTTTATATAACACAATGATATTGCTGTTTGTCTCCCCTTTCCTCTGATACAATTCTGAAATATATTTCATCAGGAAGAAATTGTGTAGAGTGTATCCAAAATATGGTGTCTGAAGTTAGATATATATATATAGGCATCCAAATAAGTGACTGTTGATTTTCAAAAGTGCTCAGCAATGAGCAGCTTCTACTGACTTCAGCTGGGACCCCAGCACTTTTGAAAATCTGACCACTTATTTAGGTGCCTTAATATGAACCTGAGAGCCTAACTTCAGGCACCTATTTTTGAAATTCCTCTCCCAGGTAATTATATTTCCCTACCTCACAGAGGTGTCGCGAGGATAAATCTATTAAAGATTGTGAGGCACTCAGATGCTATGATTGTGGGGGCCAGTTAAGTATCTAAGTATCTAAGATATATAAATTACCTAAAATATTTCATTAACATTTTTAATTACAGATGAAATGAACTTTCTTGATTTCTCTAAATCTA